TTTGCAGCAGTACTGTACTGCCACCCTCCTGCTCCTCTAAGACTCTCTGATTCTGGTTACATTTCATACTGCTGGATCACAGGTTTTTGTAGGGGAAGACACAATGAAATGAATTACATGTGGCCAGTGTGAGCCATTATTAGCTCTGCCAGCTTGATGCACCACTCCTTGAGCTATTCTTGCAAGGAAGATGGCAAATAGTTTCACTGTTGGGGAAGGGAATATATATTTTTTTCTTATTAATAAACTGTCTAGTTTTCAAATATTAAAATATGCGGGACGTATGCTGTCCTCAGTACGTGGTTGTAGTTGGTGTAAGATACAGATTGCAGGACAGGAGTCAAGAGATCAATTGCCAGTGCCTGGCATAGGAATCCTGTCTCTGCTTGACATTAAAAGTCTGCCTCTTCTCTGCTTCCCGCTGTGAGGCTTTGCATTCAGATCTGGCTGTTGTCCACCAAGTCTTGCGTTCGTGCAGTTCTCACTTGTCTGCAAATGCAACATAGGTGTGCGCATAGCTGCTCTAACTACAATGACTGCCTCTGTTTTATATACACCCTTGACATTTTGATTCTTGTTTTGTTCGTTTTAGACAGTAGAGCTCGTGGATCAGTTGCTTCGGAAAGTGGATCCTGCCAAAGACAGGGAACTGTGGGTAAAAGAACACAAAACTGGAGATATCCGACCTGTGGACATGGAAATATAGACTGACCTATAGTTCCCTGTGATGAGTCCACTGAATTAACCAGGCTAATGTTTGTTTTATTATAAGAGTCAAAGAGCATAGGGAAAAGGTTGTTCCACTACCAGACACCTTGTAATTTATGCCTGTATGGGCTATCTCTGTTACATCGAGTCATTAAAATGGTCTTCATTGTGCTAAGCCTTAAGCACCAGACATTCCAGGGTGAAGAAACCAGACGTGTGCTTCCCACCAGAGATTCCCAATTGCACGCAGCTTCCAGAAGAAATCTGCTTTCTGGTACTGAGAGAGCTCTGTTCTTCAGTGACTTTGTGCTACATCCCTTGCATGACTATCTTTATACAATATGTTAGAACAACCATGCAGTGAGCCTCTGGCCAGCAAGTAGATAACTGAACATGATGCAGGAGGCAAGGAAATCCTGATCATGAATCCCAGGTTTGTTACTGACTGCTTTCATGGCCATAGGCAAGTCAATTAACTTTTCTGGCTCCCCCATCTGTAAAACACACATATCTCACAGCACTGTTGTGCGAATACATTTATTTCGTATAAGTTTCCCACCATGGCAGTGAAGTGATGGCCCTTCTCCCAAAATCTATGGAGAAGACTCCTGTTCTTCCTGTTTTATACTCCCTCTCAGGGATACATAAACCCGTTACCATCATGATTTCTGTTCTAGGCCAATCAATAAGGTTGAGAGTGTTACCATCACTGTTTTATCAGGAAAGACTTGGTTGTGCTATACCTACCTCATTAGCTGTCTGAGTGCCCTCAATGACAGAAAGAGGTTATATACCAAGGAATAAATGAGATGTTCAAAACCTTCCCTGCTTATGCAAGATGTTTCTCACAGAATCTCCTTAAAGACAGTCCTCTAACGTTTGAGATCCAGGTTTAAATTGCCCTTTGTTGGTTCCTTCAGGTGAATATCATAGCCTTTAGATGTCTTTAATTACCAGATTTGTCTAGCTAAATTGTGGGGTTTATCTTTTTAGAGCCTGATTTTCAAAGGTGCCATGAATCTGTGATGCTAGATTGTATTAAACATAGATGTAGGTGCCCATCACTGCTGCACCATTAGATTCTTAACCTTAGGTGTACCCTTTGTTACCCTTACCGCAAACTCCCCAAGATTCAACACTGCTCTTGGCACATAGTGGTTATGTAGTTTGGAGATTGGTTTTGAAAAGGTATTAATTTTCTTCTGTTATTTTTGATTGATTATTCAGTGTTGCTGTTAATATATTTTGCAGCGTTGCATACAATGCCACAACGTCAAGATTTTTAAGATTCTGCTCAGCAGAAATCTTGATTCTCATCACTGTGGCCGTTACTCAGTGATTACTGTGTTGTTACCTACACTTTCCCAAACCATACTATTTCATTTGATCCACAGTTACGCTCCACTTTATCTCATTGTTACCATCATTTTCTCCCCAGCACCAAAATAGCATCCTTCTTTTGGTCTATTACTATTCTAGGTCTTTGTTCAGCAGCCTCAGTGTGCTGTGATTAGATCATTGAAAATTAACATTCCCCTTTACAAATAGAAAGCGAAACACAGAGAAGTCTTTTATCTGAAACACATTTTCAACATTGCTGCAGTAATTGTTTTTCTGGTTTGTTATTTCAAACTGAATTCTGATGCACTTTCCTATTGTTCCCTTTTTCTCAACTGTCTCTTTACCAGCACAGATTCATTCCTGTCTTGCAAATGCCTCCATAACCCACTTTTCTGCTGCATCATTAACCTTTATAAACCTTTGCACATTGGCAGGTGCAGTGCCATGACGACTGCATGCTCAGGATCATTGTTCTTAGTGTGACATCTCCTGTACTGTGCTTACATTGCACACTTCTGAATTTGCAACTACTGTTTTATTCTTGGTATTGTAGGAAATCCAGCACACTGTTATGTGAGTGTCACCTAAGTTCCTGTAAAGACCACTGCAATACAAAGGAAGCAGGGTTTGCTTAAGCATCATGTTAGAGCATATGCTTCCCTAGACTCCTGCTGCTCAGGCAGGGAAGTTTTGTGATGATTGCTCTTTTTCAGTTATCCTGTTGAGTTTTTCTCTGTCCCATTAATTTTTAATTTTTTTTGGCATACCAATGTATAATTTTCCTATCTCTACCATGCACTTTGGAGAAGAGGCACTTTTTATCTTTTTTTTTTTTTTTTTAAACCACAGGTGCAGGGTGAGCTGTCAAAACTTCAATGGCCAAAAATAACTAGAGTACTTAAAAGCTGCATCTCAGGTCAACCCCTGTATTTGAAGCTGCATTGTAAATTAAAATGAGCAATCTTGATGACACCTCACCACACTCTTGATTGCAAAACCTAGCTAGTTGTGCACTTTATCCAGTATTCTCCTTAGTAAGTATCTGAAAGAATCTTTTATCAATTACACATTATTTTTTCTCTTTCTTTAAAAATGTTTGTTATTTTATCTATTTTGGACTGGAAGTACTGTCCATTAGTACCAGTTTCTCTGAGGACTGAAATGTATTTTGGTTCCTCTACTAAGGTGTGTTTAAGCTGCTCTCAATTCTTAGCTGTATTTTCTGGTAATTTTTTTATTTATCCCTTTTGTTTTATTTCCAGACAGTTTTCCTACTTTTAGTTTTTGGTCCATTTGAAATGTTGCAGGAATGTGTGAACTCCACAGAGCGGTAATTCTCTTGATGGAGTCTGTCTCTCGCTTCAATAATCTGAGGAGAGCACTTGTACCTGGCAGTTAATTTTTACCAGGCCCAGCAAATTCTTGTGGAGTGCTGCTCTGCAATGGGCGAGATGCTTCCTCTACAAGACTTTTCATCTGTAATCTGCAGAAGTGTTAGGGAAGTTTTGCTGTTGCTTGTAGACAATTTCCAGCTTAATTGTGGCAAAAGGTGATATTCCCTTGTGATACGATGCTGCTGACAGTGGGGTCAGTGTTGCCTGCCTCATTCACTTCGCTGGCTGATGGATCCTGGATGGTGTGATGCCTTGCAAGTCAGAGAGTGCTGGAGCCCCTGTGCTTCTGAACAGATAGCATTTTCAAAAAAGGTAGTGGCATGTATGAAGGGAAGCATGGGTGCCTGCCCTCATTTTTGTTCCTAACAAGGTAACTTGGGGAGTTTCAACATTGCTCTATCCATCTTCCACTGAGCTACAAAAATGCAGTTGAACGCAGTCTTTCCTCGGTGCAGTAGCTCATCCTAAACAGCTGCTTCTCCAGAGAAACTTCAAGCTTTGTGTTATGTTAATATAGCTAGCATGTGAAAAGCATGATGATGTTGCAACATAACTGATTAATAGGAATAGCAAAATAAGTCTTTTGCCGCCATAGGTATGAGCTTAAGGATCATGTTGTTTCATCTGGCAGGTGGGCTCACACACTTGATGCAGGTTCTTATTGTTTTAGTCACTACAGGCATCAGTCTTTTATGATGTGATGAGGCTGTCTTATATCTTCATATGGGTCTGTGGTCATAAGGTCTGCAGAAAATGAGCTTTCGATTAGCACTGTTTGCTTTCACCTGAAGGGGTACAATTAATGGAAATTTGACTCTGGTTGTTACCTGGTGGCTCTGCTTGCCCGGGTCTTTGTTGAAGCCACCTGTGTCAGGAGTCTTGCCACTCCTGCAGAGCTCCCTCCATGTCTAGGGGATGCTGTCACATACTTGTGCTGTCAAGCCTCTGGCTCCCTGGTGATCTCTGCTTCAGCCAGAGCCTTTTGGCCCTTGCCTGAGCTCAAGGGCTTTGTGATTTCCTATGACTTTAAATCCATTTTATGTCCTGACTCTGGTGCCAGAGCTGATGAGGTGCTCACCAGCTGTAACCTCAGCTACCATACAGAATGAGAACATCTTATCATCCATACAAGCCTGCCTGTCTTCAAAGCTATCTTCTGGCATAGTTTACTCAGTAGAGAGTCCTTGTTGGAAGTCCTTCTGTAAGGTGTTCTTTCAGCTTATTTCCTAACATAACTCATTCTGGATCTGGTGCTGTTGGCTGATTCCTGTTGGAGTTAATGAGCTGAAAACGATGAGTCTTCTACCACGTGGGTCAAGTGCCCTTTCTCCCATCACTGACAAGATTCCAACTGCTTTCATAGAGCAACATCCAAAAAGGCCTAATTCTCAGATTTCCAGTCTGCTGCAGATCCACTCACATCTGTAACTTGCATTTGTTCATCACTTCTATGTGTTGAACATCTTTTGAAAGACTTCAGTTGTTCTATTATGGGAATGTTATTTCAGTATTTATCATTGGGATCTTTAGAGGTAGCTTTAATTTTTTTTTTTTTTTAATGTTAAAATACCCTAAAAGCAGTGAAAGTCATATGGAAATCCCTGTTATGTTTCTAGAATACTTTTCTCCCCTCTGCAGCCCTTCCTGAACTGCTGTGGGGTATTGCACAGTTACAGTAAATACTTAAATTGTTCTTTCTTTTCTGCATAACGGGCAGCATGCAAACTTGTGCTCTGCTTCTCTTTACCCTTTATGCATCTGCGCAGTTTCATGATGCAGAATTAGTTGCTTTTTGTTTAACTGACAGCCCCATGCTGTAATGTCAGTGTATGTAGCTGTCTTGTGACAGTGAACTGTGTACAGATCACCTCTTTTTTGTTTGTTTTTTTTTTTTTCTGTTTTTTTCTAACAGGAAATTTCTGTGAAGCATTCACAGGAAACTTTTACACACTCAGCAGCAGTCATAATTTCTCAGACCTTCTCAGAACCTCTTTAAATTTGCCCTTGTTTTTAATGACATTATTTAAATATTTGTTGCAGGTTAGACTCTGTATGTAGAAATGTGCACTTCTCTTTTCACCTGCTCTTTGGAAGTGCTCAGCACTCAGATTTCTTGGAACACAACAGGGAGTGTGTAGGTAATAAGAGACTTTGAAAATCAGGCTAGCAAATAGAAATGAACAAGCCTCTTTTCCTTAGTCATTGAGTACATATATAAGATAAACATTAAGAAGCGAGAACCTCTGATACTTAATGTACATGCAGTTCCCAGCAGCTCCACGAGTGGCGATGTGTCAGGCTGTGGTAGGAGCACAGCTTTAGACCATGCGCCTGCAGCTCAACTTCTGATGCAGCTGTAAAAACCCAAATCCAAAACGAAATGAAAAATGCCCATCTATTTCTTCAGTCACACACAGGGAGAAAAAAAGCACTGCTTACCCAGGTGGGCCCTTCACTATCAAGCACCTTATGAAATCCAGACCAGCACCTTGAAGGTCCCCCTGGAATGAGTAGATGTGACTTCTTGGTGTGATCAGTTGATTGCTTCCTTCTGAATTGAAAACATACTTCCTATTTTATAGTAGCTAGTGTACTCTTTTGCACTAGTGCAGCCTGCTGGATCTGTTCCCAGAGATGGCAGTCGGAGTCTGGTGTCCTGGAGGCAGTCCTGGTGTCCCCTACACTTCTGCTTTGCAAAACTTCAAAAGACAGTGTCAAAAAGGCAGTTTTCAAAGTAATGAACTTTCCTGATCACAGATCTTTTTGGAAAGTCTGTAGGCTTTTTGCTACCCAGCATGCGTTGAAATAGAGAATGAGGTCGCAGAGTTTGCCGAGGCGTTGCTGTGAATAGTGGTGGCTGTGTGGGCATTCCTCCCTGCCGTGGTAGGGATTGGCTGGCAGCCTTTGCACAGCAGAGGCTCCTGACACTGACATTTTACCCAGGGACTCTGCTGGTCACATCTAAATTAATCAGGTGGACAGTAGTCACAGAGAGATTCAAATTAGAAATGGACACATGGGGCAGGAAAATATTTAGCTGCTCAACATGAGGCACTCGTCTCCCTCAGACCCTGATGGGTCCAGCAACAGGTTCATCATGCTCTGAATTCTGCTTAGCACGTGAAAATCAGTAATGAAATGTTACCTTGTAGCTATTGCCTGATAATGAGGGTCTCCAACTAGCTCCTGGTTGTGCCAGTGGGAGACCGGTGTGTGGCAATGCCACACTGGTGACTACAGAGAGCGTTTGGCAGTGCTGTGATGCCCTGTGCCCTTGCACTGTACTGACCGTGAGTCAAGCAGAGACGTGTCAGGCTGGCATGTAGGTATTCTCCAAGAGCTTGGAGCACACAGTCTTTCTCTTGCATAATGGTGATGAAGTCTTTCCTGTCAGTAAATCCTTGTATTTTCCTGAGAAGCACTATTGTATAAATAATACTCATTGTTTTGTCTTAGAGTAGATTTTATTCATATAAATGTGCATCTTTCAACTCTTACTTTTTCCTCTCCATTGTTACTGTAGCCAGCCCTCCATCACTGAGTTATGCCAGTCTTCAGGATCTTGTCTTTAATTTTGAATTTTCATAGAAAGGCTCTGTTGCTTTAATGTGCTGACCAAACTTCATGCTTTTGGATATTTTCGGAGAGTGGTAGGTGCATGCTTTTTGGAGGGGTTATCTTTGGTTTGGGATTTTCTTACTAGCCACCAGGTTTGGAAGTGCAATGACTCCTTTTTGTGCTAGTTGCAGTTTATTTTATCTTCCTGGACATTTTTTCTGAAGGGACCAACACATAGCACAATTTGACTTAAATTTCTAATCCCATACGTTCCTCAAGGCAAAAACCTTTTGTGCCTAATGATGCATCTGATTCTAAGAATTTTACATGGATAAAATCTTTCATAGGCCAATAAAAAGTCTTAGGTTAACTGCATAATAATTACAGAAAAAATATTTAAATTTGAAACATTCAAATTTAATTCCCTCAACTTACATTAAGTTGAACTATTTCAGGTGCGTCGTAATAGACAAACTCAGTGGATATTCAGAACAAAAGCTTTTCAGCTGCTGTATTCAGGTTCAGTGAGTGGACAAGACTGTAATTTTGAATATATGCAGTCTTTCAGGGCTACTGATTTAACAAGTAACAGAGTAATGGCTTGTATCACAACCCTACTAAAATTCTGCTAGTAGTTCCCCTCAAAGTGCCTTTTTAGATTGTATCTGCTACAAGCATGTAAAATACACAGGTTTACCCTACAAATTTCCAAAACTCAGGAGCAGCCAGTACACACAGATCTCTGCAGGATTCTCAACCCTCCTTCCTTGCTCTCCTCTGTGCACTCTTTTAGGACATCCACATATCCAGTAGACCTGCCTTTGCCTCACTGATCATTTACTGTCCAGCACAGTCATTCTGAATTCTTAATGCTGAAAATGGAGTCCAAAATGTTATTCTTAAAAGCAGCTGCATTGAAGGGGTGTGGCTAACCTAATCTGACACATCCTTCAGTAGAATCAGGGCTCTCAGTAGAATAAGCAGGGAATTCTGCATAAAAATAGTTGAGGGCCTAAGTGGGCCTGTATTGTTTAAAATATAAAAAACAAACCCTTAACTCTTTTTTTTAAAGCAGTTGCTGAGAAGAAATTTTCTGGTACTAGAAGTCTAAAGCTGAATAGTGATTCTGGGGATCTTGCATCTGCATGACATGACAATCTTAGTCATTTCAATTTGGGAATGCTTAACCTGAAAGTCCTTGTTCCTTTGGAGATTTTTGATGTGATAGTTGAGATTTTCAGAATAGCCTAAGGAATTTGGGTGTCCGTTTACTACTCTTTTACTCCATCAGGTCAAACACACTCTTCAGGGACAGTAACCTCTATCCACTATGAATAAAGCAGGTACTAGTACTGGACAAATATTTTTCTTCTCCTTCTTAGGTGGTTTCATTTCTTTCAGCAGCCCAAGATAATATGAAAAATCCACCAAACAGTTTTGCAGACATTCTAAGCAGGGCTTCAAAGGTGGGCCAGATCACCAGTCATACACTAAAACAGTTTTCTACTAAAACACAGTTGCTTATTTGGTCCTTTTTGTGTAACTTTTGCTAAATACTTCTAAATTTCTAGGAAAGTTGTCTTTTGCCATTACTAACGATTTATTTTTAAAGATGTTTAACCAAAATTTTATAACTTCCCTTAAATTTTGGCTGAATAGACCCCTCTAATAATGTATCATGCAGCCTCTGTTTGGGTAACTAGTAAATCTTGGATCATTGTGCAAATTATAGGATGGCTTTTGTTCCATAAGGATACATGAAGGAGTCACTTTCTGAACTTAAGAAGTTGAATGCAGAAAAGATTTAAGGGGCAGATCTTCAGCTCGGTTAAACTGGCAGAGTTCTGTGGAAGCTACTTTGTCAGCTGTGGATCTTGTCCTTCAGTCTTGAAGGCATTTCCTATACATGATTTTTCTGTCTTACTGTAAAACAATTTCATATGGTTAAACTGTATTTTCCTATATTGTTCTGCAAGTTTATATGCACCACAGTGCTCGTCTCATCTCCTGTAAAATAAACTGTACAGAGACACATTGAGCATGGAATTGTCTTTACCTAGTTGCTTTTACTCCTACTAAAGCCCCACTCCTTTTGAATGCAGTATCATCAAAGAAGACCTGAGGTGCCATATGCATGTGTACTGCTTTGCTGGTACCAGCTTAATGCAGCTTGAATTTGCAGTCATATCACTTGGGTGTAATCTACTTGTACCTACTCTTTTCAGATCTTTGCATGATATCCAGGTGAATACAGTCCCTAAAATTTCATTTTGATAGGAAATCAATTTAAGAAGCACTTGTAGTTAAGTATTTTTGTTTTTAAAGAAGTGGGGAAGCTGACCGTGATCAGTCTGAGAGTAGCTGCTGTGAAATGGGCATGCTTTAAATGATCTGTAAGTCTTCTACACCCAGTCGGTCCTTTACCTGCAAGTTCCACATGCATCTTGAAGCTTAGTTGAAGAGAAAACACTGTTGTGAAATGTTGTTATTAATAAATTGTTCTATTTTGAATATTTGAGTTATCACGCATGCTGGCAGGTTTTCTAACAGTCAAAATCAGCCTTACCAAAATCCTGTCTAATCCAACACCTGTCTTCAGAAGTGACCAGCGTGGGATGCTGCTATAGAAGCAGAGCTCAGAGAAGAGGGTGTTGCAGTTCTGTAGAACACGAGCCCAGCTTCCCAGCAATGTTCGACTCTGGAGGTAATGGCATTACCCTCACCCCTCATAAACCTCAGTGGAGCTTCCTTCTAAGAATTTGTCTGGTTTTGAACACTTGTAAAAATTTAGGTTTTGCAGCCACCTGCAGAATGGCATCCTGCAGCTCCTTGGTGTATTTGTACACTGATGTGGTAAGTAGTTGCAGAGGTGTGCACACTCTTCTCAGAAGAGGAGAAGAAAGGTAAGACACTGAAAAAGTTCCAGGTGGAAGCTTGTTTTCACAGTCCAGTCTTCACATCTTGCCCGAAGTAGCCTAAATCTGTTTAAAAAATGTCAGAATGCTGTTTCAGATGATGGTGCAGTTTAGTGAATACTTGACAATTCTCCATGTGCATTTAATTGCAACTTGCTAACAAAAATAATTTTCACTTGTAGAGGACTTTGATACAACTTTGAAACCCAAGATGGGGAGTTTCTGTACAAGCCATGACACTTGCTGTACTGGTGTAGTGCCAGCACTCAGAAAAACAACACTGGAAGGACCAGAGTGGATGGGCAGGGTGGCAATCTTGCAGTTTGCAACATTTGCATGTAAAGGGCAGGGTGTTTTACTCCGTTCTGCACAAGAATACCTGTGCTAGACTTTTGCAACCAAAATAATTTAAAAATCCGCTTGGATTCCACTGTGCAATTAAGCCTTTGACACTCTCACGTACCTCAGAAGTGGAAATCAAGCTGCAAGGAAATCGGAGAGATTTGATTTCAGACCACTTTTGGGCGTAGATGTGCTTTGTGCCTCAAGCTGTTCCTCAGAAGTTCCTGTTAATTGTAAATAAAATTATGTCAATACAGTCTGCATCGTCTGCTGTTTCCCTGATCAGCAACATGATGCTGAAATCTCCAGATAAATACTAAGTTTTCTGTATGGTAAACTGGACAGTATGTTAGGAGAATCCCAGGTTCTACTTACTGCAGATATTAAGTCTAAGTGGAAATTGGAAGCTGTGTGCACACCATTGCCTTGGATCAGATTTTGATCTGGATGCTGTTCCTCAGAGCACCTGCACTGCATTAGTGCTGGGTCCTCCCTGCCTTCAGGCGTGGACTAACTGTCTTGTTGAAGGCAGAATTTCGGAGCTATTCAGTGGTTAAGTGACTGGAGAACTGTGAGGGGCATGCTCTTGATTGCACTGCAGTCAAGATTACGTGCACTGAGGCAGCTCCAGCTTCAGGGAAGAGGTACAGTGACTGCTGAGCAATGTTGCAAAGAAATACTAAATGCCCAAGAAGCAGAACAAACTATTAAAATTCCTCCCACTTGAGGAGGGGGTGGGACATGTTAGGGTGGATTTGCATGAATTGTTTGAGAGCAGTTCTGAGCAGTTTTCAAAAGTCAAGTGCTGGAGTGCTGTGAATTAGTGCTATGCAGGCTGCAGCCCTGCCTGCTGTCACTGTGGGTGGGAGGTGGGGTGGATTCCTTCTCTGCTTTGAAAGCTGGACTTTTCTGAGAAAGGCACTGGTGACTGGTAACCCTGCTTAGAAATGGTCTTTCAGAGCCAGGAAATGTCCAGCTGTGGAGACACTTTGTTTGAGGTGCAGCTGTGGAGTGGTTTGGGCATACACAAACATCTTGCCCGTGTTGCTGTTCCTGGGCCTGTGCCATGGGTAGGATGTGTATAGCCCCTTCCCAAGTCCCTTGCCAGGCAGATTATGAATTGAAGACCCCATCAACAGGACGAAGACCCAACAGGAGCTTGGGGAACACGAGCTGACCTCTGCAACTCAAAGAAAAACACTAACCAGCATAGGTTTTGTTTGCAACAGACTCGAACACTGCAGTGCATGCAGACTGTGCTGCGTCAAATGGTGCCAGCCCGGACTTAGCCGAATCTTTTTTTCTGACTGTTGTGCAAGGGGGCTGCTTCCACAGGGCCATTGCACTTCTGCAGTCAGATTACAGAGGCGCATAACCAGTAATGGCCAAATGAGGGTCTTACACAGAGTATTTCAGGACTAGGCATCTGTTTTCCTGGCTGCGGATACCACCCTGCATTTATCTTATTCTGTTGAAGTTAAGTGTTAACTTTTGCTACTGTATACTATATTTTGATTATTGATTTTATTGATTTTGGACTGTCATGCAACTTGCAGAAAAATGCAGCATTTCAGGCATACCTGTTTCAGGTGTAAGACTGTGTAGTCCGCAGTGATCTGTACAATAAAAGCCCCATTTGAAGAAAATCTTGTATTTTTTTTATTTCAGACAGGGACTTCCTGCAACCCGCATACATTGTAGGTGGATGTTTAATGTAACCCATGAGCCTGGAAAGCCTTGCAACCTGTTAGAACTATTTGGGACTGACCCTTTTGACATAAAACCAATACTTTACCACCCAAGATGAAATGTTTGTGTAGATGTACCTTTTGTGTAGATCTACCTTACAAAATGGCATATCTGCAAGTTTTTCTCATATGCACATTTGTACTGTCCCATAGTTCCCAAATAAGAAAGTCTTGGGAGTGTCTAGACCCCCAACACTGCTCTTGCTTTGATAAAATTGAAATCAGTCTTAGCAGCAGCTTGCCTGAGAGACACAAAACACTGCCCTACGGTACTTATATAGTCTGGACTCTGCAGTGTCCTTCATTGCAGTGCCTAGTAATTAATTCCTCCTTTGAAGGAAGTGCCCTCTAGGCCTTCATGAAGTGCATCTCTTAACTCACATCTGATACAAACCCAGTAGTCAGTAGGTTAGTAAAACTTAACAGAGTCCAAGAACTTTTAATTATTTCCTATTTGTAAGAGAAAACTTTATATCAGTCTTGAGTTGGCAAATGAAGACCTCTTCCCCTCTTCACAGTTGAGGATTTTGCACAGGGGCTTATGTCCAAGAAGCTAAAGGCTCATTTTAAATTGCAACTCCTAACTTATCTGAAGTTCAGATGAAGCTTTTTTTTTGTGCCTTGCTGTTGTGGGTCCTTCTCTCTCACATGAATTTGAAAAAAGCCATGAAAGGTATTTTCTTTACAATCCTTCTAGAAGCATTTAAATTTAAAAAAAAAAAAAAAAAAAAAAAAAAAAAAGAAGCAAATTATGGTAATTCCTCTCAGGCTACACAGTCAAGTTGCAAATTCTAATGCTGAGGATGTCAGAAGTTTGTGTAACTCTGAAGCATTTTTAGACTGTTGGGAGACTGTTGTTACTCCAAGCACTGCTGGAGCCACAGAATTAGCCTTTGGTGGCAGAAGGTCTTGCAGCTATATGGGCCATGGCAGGAGTTTGAGGGGAGGAGCACCAGGCAAGTCCCTGTCTGTGCGCTTTTCCCTGGCTGTATGGGGATTTCCACTGCTGGATGCAAAACACAAAGCAGTAAAAAATGTGAGTTTCAAGAATGTGTCAAAGGCCCTCATAAACTCAGATTTGCTTGGGTTTTGTGGTTAAAACAGGACATATCCCAGCAAGCCCTTGCACTCTTCTGCTTCTGCCCCATGGGTGAACTCGGCTGACTTGTTATGATTGCAAACATTTATACCTGATGTGTGCCGATCTGGTTTACACTGGAGATCCAAAGAGTCCAGATTGAGAGGCTCCAGCTCGATTCTGGTTACTGACAAGAAACACACCAGGTGCTTGACAAAAGCATGGTCAAAAGACCAGTTATGGAGAGAAGCAGAGAAACAAGCAGTCTAATCAGTATCGGAAAAAATAGCACTGAAAATGAATCTACAAGTTCTCCTGGACACAGGGTAAACTGCTTCTAGGTGTTTATTTTTAAAATACAGGAGATGATGTTATATCAGGCTTAGCTTTTCCACGTATTTTTCTCTTTAAGCAAATTGCTGCCTGAGGATAAACTTTAGGATTATTTGCCAGTGCCCCTTCACCCTCCTGCAGTTCAAAACCATTTCTGCATTTTACAATGCAGTTTTGGGAGTGCATCTTTGAGTCTTTTACACCAGATGTCAGTGTGCCTCCCTTTTTGCCTTAGAGGGCTTCAGACTAGGATGTCTTCAGAAAACTGCAGCTGTGTTGGTTGAAAATTGCAAGGTGTATTACCAGGACTGGGCATGGACCATGTGCAGGCACAGACCAACAGCATAGAAATCCATCAGCTCAGCCACAAAACTGAAAGCCACTTGCTTTCTATAATCTGGCTTTATTGCAAGAATTGACTAATTCTTGCTCATAATCAGTCTACAGTGCCTCAATGCAACCCAACTTGGAACAGTACAAGGCAAGAAGAGATGACAATCCATGCCCTGTTATGTGCCATGTGACATTTCTAACTACATCATTTTCTTTGTGTATGACCTTGTCATACGGTCAGCAGAGGACAATTCCACATCTGTAGCCTCATCACATACCTTACTTCAAACATTACTGCTTAACCCTAATTTGAAATCTTTGATAAGATTTCAGGGAAAAGTCTTGCACTTAAAGCATTCTTCTAGGGCAGAGCAGTGGTGGTGCAGCACAAGATGCCTTGCTCAAGGAGTAGGGCAGCTAGAAGAAGTGATGCTAGTATATCACGGGGAGCCACAATCCTTGGAAGCACCAAAGCACCCAGTATCTCTACCTGTCAGGTAGATGACAGGGTACCAAGTTTGGAGAGGGACCACATAATGAGTTCAGAGATGATGATGATGATTTGCACTTCCCATGGAAGGCTTCACACAAGACTATTGAGTAGTAGCAGTCATTACTGCTGTGGTCAAATGAAAAAGTTAAACTTATTCTACAAGCTGAATCAGCTGAAAGTGGTTTTGAGCCTTCACACGTCATTGTGATAAATGTCTTTCATGAGGCCCTTAAGAGCAAACCTATGTTCAAAGTTGAAGCAATTAGTTTAACTTAGCTCTTGTAATCTTTACTGGTTTCCTGCACTGGTGCCAACTACCATTTCTCTCACCTGATTTCATTAAATACAATGGCAGTTTCTGAACTGAAGGTCAAGAAAAAGTGGCCCAAGGAATACTATTTGCACACCTTACATTGAACTAAGCTCACACACAAGTGAAGTTTCAGCAGTCAGGATTTTCTATCTTGACTTAAACCACAAAAATACTAATGTCATATTTCTTCCTCAGAGAATCTAGTTGTATAAATTACTGTCTCAGTCCATATACAAATGAAAAAAAAAATTACAAACATGCACTAGTGAAATATTTATTGTAGGGACAAACAGCCCAGCCTCACTGGTTAATGCTGCATGCTCTGTTTGCACTGTTTTTTTCACTAGTTCCTGAAAGCAGAGGATGAGAACATCTAGCTCCAACTTTACTTTGACTTCATGTTTTTATAAAGTAGAAAACCAAACACTCAGTCTCCTGAAGCTACAGCATAAGTTAAGTCTTTTTATTTACAGAGCTATGACTTTTTTTGTACACTTAGCAAATGCCTTAAGACTGTATCATTTGTCTCCGCTTATTTGCTCAGAGAGACTAGGACTGTATATCAGCTGCTTAGATGTCTTTAAGCTGACTTCTCAAACACGGTGACAGTCATGGCTCTCTGCTCACAGGTGCAGGCTGCAGGGGCTCTTCTCACAGCCCTTTCACCTTCTGGGAAGGGAGAAAAGTTGCTGGATGGTGCTGTGGTTAATGTGGAAATGTGGGAGTCAACTCGGGACTCCCTCTTAGCACTGCTCACAGTTCTCAGGAATCTTTCATGTTGGCTCATATTATCATGAAAATGTCCACAAATGGGTCACAGTTGTATGCTTAAGAGTGTAAATAACTGCCTGATTGCTGTGGTGCTTACATATATTGAAGGAAGATGTGTAGTCAGTGCCTTTTTTTATCCTTTGTTGTCTTCTCTGTTGCTGAAATAAATTAATTTCTTACTTCCCAAGTCTATGAAGAGTAAAAATTTGGGTTAGACCAAAAGTCCATATAGTCCAGTATCCTGGCACGGACAGTGACCAGTAAGTACCATTTTATTAGGGAAGGGTGGGAGAAGAAAGCTTTGTAATGAAATATATTGTGATTCCTCCCTAGATTACACTTTGAGCCCTGGTGATCCCTGCTTAGAGACGCTTACCAAATAGTGTATTTTATTTAAGCAGCAGGTTTTTGTATTTAAACAGTTTGTTTTTTTTTTTTCTCCCATGAGCTGATTTGGGAACTCATATAAATTTCCCTTAACATTATGTAGGAAACAGCTGCACAGCACAGTGAGATGATATGAAGCATCTCCTTCTGCTTCCTACTAATTTGTACCTCTCCAGGTTAACTTGTCTTAGTTCTTGGATGTGAAGAGACAGGTACTTGCCTTCTGTAGTCAACCCACAATCTGACAGCTCACTGTTGTGTTCCTTCCCTCCTGCCCAATCATTTGTTGTTCAGGATGAGCAGTTCTGATCCCCAAATCCTCCTGCTATGTGCCTGACCTAGTTCTTTGTCCTCTCCAGGTGGGACAAAGAGAACCAAACAACATATTTAAGATGTAGCCTCACTGAGGGTAACATAATTCTGAGTGACTATTTCTTTTCTAATAATACAAATTCCCTAATAATCCGTAGCACTTTTTTATTTACGTTGTTTTTTCTTCTACCAGTTCCTGTGTTCTGCAATTTCTTGCCTCAGAGTTAACAGGAAATTTACCTATCAACTATAACAAAACAGTGTTTTGAATTTCTTGCATAAAAATTGTTCTGCAGTGCTTATAGATGTTGTTATCTAGAACAGCAACATTGAAATCTGGGGAATGATCTGTATCTTCTAAAATCTTAAAAGAAAGCAAGCATAGCCTCTACTGACTTGTACAGGAAAGAAGGCCTAGAGAAATAACTTTGGCACAAGCTCGTAGTAAAAGCAAGGTGGTTACAGCAGTGAAGTAAGATAATAAATCCTCTCTAACACCCATGTGTGAAACTATCACAGAAGTAACCACTGAAGTACTGACTCTAGGCAATGGCTCCAGCACAATGATGCTCTCATCAGAGTAAATGCTCTCCTTGCACAGATACCACCTCTGCTGGTTTTGTTCTGTATGTTTTTTTAACTAACTCACCTACCTGTTTCTCACCCAGCAAAAACATCACTCCACCTTACCCTCTGAGCTACCCTTGGCCACACACAATCATTTCTTCATCCTTTCTCCAGGCCCCTCAGTTCCTGCCTCGACCATACACACTCCTCTATCTCATTGTCTCATTTCAGAGTCACTTCCCACAACTCAGCCTCCAGTAAATAATTATCCTTTTGACCTCCCTATTTCTTCCTGCTTTCTCTCCCACCATGCTTCACTTAGTGTCATCCTATGACATCTTCTCATCCAGCCACCTCTTCTCCCACCTGAATTGCAGATGCAACTCATGGTGGTCATTCCCTGAGTTTCTTCAGCTTCTATTTCCCGCTTCACACTCCTCCACCCTTTCCCTCTAAACACTATGTCTGCTTTGTTACCCTGCAACATCCATTCTTGTTCCTGGGAAAGTTCAATTCCATAAGTCCTCTCCACAAACCCATTTCCTTCATTTCCACCAGCCTCCATCAACCTTATCTACAACTGCTGCTCTTTGTATGCTGGCTTTCACTCCAGCCTTTATAGGACTGCTTCTCTTTCTGCAGAGCTGCACCAGTAGCCCCAGTTTGCTTTCCTGGACACCTTAGGTGCTGGAGATCTCCATGTTTAATATGCTCCAAGGGGCATAAAATTCTGACCATACCCACACTACCAGATAAATGGGCAGATATACAGATAGACAGGTAGACAGATCAGTCAATGATTGATCAGTTGATCTCCTGTGATACCTTTTTCAAATAAAGTTCACCCATCTCTTCTGATCTCCTGTCTTTCCTATTTCCTTCCTCTATTCAACTCTTCTCTCCTCAGAGAAGTGGAGGTTATTTTTTTTCTTGTTTTGCACTTGTTCTCTTCCACTCTCCCTGGTATTGATGCACCTTAACTCCATTCTTCCTTCCTCCTCTCTGTCACTTTGGGTCTTCACTTTCTTCTGCTATTTATTGCTTTCAAAGGTCACATGACTGAAAAAAGGGAAAAAAACACTTCACACCCCAAAGCTGCCTCACTCAAGAAAATACATTCTTTTTCACATGAAGCTCCAGCCTCTTTCTTCCAGACATAAACTAAAACATCATGTTTTACCAATACCAGAATCTTATCTCCTGCTCACTCCCAGATCTCTGTCTCTCCCATGGAATTTTATCTGGGCATCGTCTTATCTTAGCTCTGTGCTGCTTTTCTCTTCTATCTGGAAGCTGCTGGCTTCCTGTTTCTTGATCACAATTGGTCCTGGTTTCTTGTGGCTCTTTGATCTCTCTGCTCTGTACCTTACATTTAGTATCTGTCATCTAGTATATCTCTATTTTCCTCTGTCAGACTTCACAGGGTCCTTTTCCCCCTTATCTCCCTCTCACTAGTACTTCTTTCGCTCAGACTGTTTCAGTTTTGCATTTTATTGGTAGCTCATTCCCTATCTCTTTCATCTGTTGGTCTGTCATTAGGCAACCTCTTGCATAATTCACCATCACATTAATACAGGAAAGTCTTGACAATATAGCTGTCCCTTCTAGACCCATGTTACTACTCACAACATTGTCCTTGCACGTGTCTCATTACTCATCCCATTCACTCAAGACCTTCTTCTGTCCCATATCTGTATCACTCAACAGGCTGCTCTGTGGTTTGCAGGGGCAGTGCACCACATCTGAGCTTCTCACTGCCTGTCCCATGTGCCTAATTGTCCCAGGAGGATAATTAACAGGTGCTGTTTCAGGTTGCAAGGCTCCCTGTACTGCAAAAGGTGAAGGGGCCTCCAACAGGTTGCCTCAGTACTGAGGGGTTGATGTGCTGTAGCACATCCTAAGGTTCTTGATATTCAAGCCTTTTCAAACTGTGGTCTCTGGGCCTCTCCAGACCCCAAGACTGAGGTATTGGTTGGAGGATACCACGATTCCCTCCCAACTCAGAGACCAGGGCTTCTTTCTGCTTAAACAAGTACTGACATAACTGATGTATGAGTTGGGATGACTGATGTATGACCAGGTGTCTCCTCAGAATCAGAGAATCATTTCCATTGGAAGAGACCCTTAAGATCATCATTCCAACCATTAACCTAACACTGCCAAGCCCGCCACTAAGCCATGGCCCTGAGCACCACATCTACACATCTTTAAAATACCTCCAGGGATGGTTTCACAACCACTTCCCTGGGCAGCCTGTTCCAATGCTGGATAACCCTTTTGGTGAAGAATTTTTTCCTAATATTCAATCTAAATCTCCCCTGGCACAATTTGAGGCTATTTCCTCTTGTCCTATCACTTGCTACTGTGGAAAAGAAACCAACACCCATGTTTCACGTGAAACGGATTGTAGAGAGCAATAAGGTCACCCCTCAGCCTCCTTTTTCTCTAAACACCCCCAGTTCCCTCAGCCACTCCGTGTAAGACTTGTTCTCCAGACCCTTCACCAGCTCCGTTGCCCTTCTCTGGACAAACTCCAGCCCCTCAATTTCTTTCTCGTAGCAAGGGGCCCAAAACTGAACACAGAATTTGAGGTGCAGCCTCACCAGAGATGAGGACAGGGGGACAATCCCTTCCCTGTCCCTGCTGGCCATGCTATTTCTGATGCAAGCCAGGATACTTTTGACCTTCTTGGCCACCTGGGCACACTGCTGGCTCATATTCAGCTGGCTATCAATCAACACCCCCAGGTCCTTTCCCACCAGGCAGCTTTCCAGCCACTCTTCCCCAGGCCTGTAGCCTTGCCTGGGGTTGTTGTGACCCAAGTGCCAGACCTGGTGCTGAGCCTTGTTGAATCTCATACAGTTGGCCTCAGCCCGTTAATCCAGCAGTTACAGATCCTTCTGTAGATCCTTCCTACCCTCAAGCAGATCAACACCCCTTGCCCAACTTGGTGTTGTCTGCAAACTTAATGAGGGTGCACTTGATCCCCTTGCTCAGATCATTGATAAAGATATTAAACAGAACTGGGCCCAGTACTGAGCCCTGGGAAACACCACTTGTGACCAGTCACCAACTGGGTTTAACTCCATTCACCACAACTCTTTGGGCCTGGCAATCCAGTCAGTTTTTTTTACTTAGCAAACAGTACACCCATCCAAGCCGTGAGCAGCTAGTTTCTCCAGGAGAATGCTGTGGAAATGGTGGCAAAAGCTTTATCAAATTCCAGGTAAACAACATCCACAGCTTTTTCCTTATCCCCTAAGTGGGTCATCCTGTCATAGAAGGAGATCAGGTTTGTCAAGCAGACCTGTTTGTCCTATACATGCCATGTGATGGCCCTCAAGATGAGCTGCTCCATAACCCTCCTTGGCACTGAGGGTCAGGCTGACAAGCCTGTAGTTCCCTGAATCCTCCTTCCAGCCCTTCTTGTAGATGGATGTCATATTTGCTAACCTTCAGCCAACTGGGACCTCCCTGGTTAGCCAGACTGCTGATAAGTGATTGAAAGTGGCTTGGTGAGCACTTCTGCCAGTTCCCTCAGTACACTTGAGTGAATCCCATCCTTGATACTTCCTGCTCTCCAGATTCTTCAGGAGTCTGCAGCCCTCTGCAGGTTCATGCACTGCTTCCAAACATTGAACTAGGTGTCCTGAAACCAGCCAACATATTTCTGGCACTAGGCACAGACATCTGCCTGAGCAGTTCTTAACTCACAGCATGACACAGGAGGTGCCTTCACCCAGCTGGGCTTCAAAGCACAGAATACTCTTCCAGTGCACAAGTTAACCCTCAGGTTGTAGAGAGGGGAGGTGGAAAACAACATCTCTGACTGTGAGTTTCAAAGCAACTACAATGCAACTTAATGTGTTGGCTGAGAATTAATGAAGTGATTTTTTTTTGTGTTGTGGAATTTGGAGTTCAGTGATACTCAAATGTTTAAAAAGGGGGAAAATCATCTAGGCTGCACAGCTCCTTGCTGCTCCTTCTCATTCTATACCACTATTCTAGTGATCAGAGCTAAGTGTCCTACTTTGCAGTGTTCAGAGTATGCAGCAGCCAATATATCTGCAGTGACACCTCTAAGACTTTTGTCTATCTCCACAAAACCTCAAAGCTTAAGCCTTTAGGTGCATTAATTATTCCTTATAAAGTACAAATAAAAAAATATTTGTGCTATATCTTTCCTGCTGTCTTACTACTCCCCATAGCTGTAACCCTGAGTTATTACCAACCAACCTCCTCCTTCTTGCCTTTAGGGATGCTACTGGAAGAATGTTAATACCAAAACGTCAAACCACCTAAAGCAGGGGATTGGTCTGGAAATAACAAGATTTAGAGAAAAAAAAAAAAAAAAGTTTTATATTTTAGCCTTTCTTTGGACTTTCATATTTCTTGCCTGAATCTTTGACGTTTTGTCATTAAGTAATAAATAATAATGATGACCCCATTACTCCCTTTCTTTGAACAAGCAGCCATTACTGTCACTTTTGTTTCACAAAGAAGAAATTGAAGTACATGGAGTTGACATGACTTTTCCAAAGCTACACAGCAAAGTGGAAGTCATGCTGTGAAAAATTTAAACATCCTGAGTCCCAGTCGTCTATTCATTATGTCCATGAAATTCAGATGTGAGTGTGCTTAAACCACATACTGGCAGCTTTATGTGGCAATGACATTTGCCTCCTTTTACCCCTGAACTCTGACTACTTGCCGGAGATGGTGTTGTGAGACAAAGGAGGCAGGAAAAAGCTGAAGAATTAGCCCTAGTGCAATTTTTTGTTGTTGCTTTCTTTAGTTATTCTAGGTGATGTTTATCAACCTTTTTGCTAAGCTGCACTGTCTGCCTGAAGAGAGGACTCTGCAGGAGGGCAGACTGCATTACACAGAGCCACCCCTTAAACACAAAGGAGGAGACGAAGCCAGAAGCACTTGGTCAACCTCATCATCTTTGCTGTTGATGTGGTCCATGTGGTGTCTGTGGTCAGGGGTACTCATCACATAGGGTCAGCTCTCCACATTCGAGCAAGCACGAACTCCTAGCAAATAATGCTGTTTTCTGCCAAACCTATGGTCCTCCAGGCAGGGAAACTGTGACACTGTAAAGGACCCATGTGGAACACGGTAAAATCAAACAAGATTTTTGGCATCTGAGTAGACAGAACTCTCAGCCTCAGAGAGTGTCTGATACACACGTGGAGGAGGGGCGGTCTCTGGGAGAGGGTGAACAGCCCAGGACTGCTGCTCAACAGTGTCTGCAGAGATGCTGCCGGGCTTAGAATCAGAGCTAACTCCAGACAATACGAAGAAACAAGCTGAAGAGCAATCAGGGAGAGCAGTGACAATTTGGCTGTGATAGGAGTAAATAATCATTATGATGTGATGAACACAATACACAAGGAAACTGAGCCTTCAAGCCTTTGAGGTCTGATTATGTGGCAGCTCCAGTTTAATTTCCTGCAGCTAATTACAATGACAGTTTACAAGCAGCTGCTTCTCACTAGTTCTGTGGCTCAAGGAATGACTGCAAAGATGCCTAAACATAACATTTATCAGAGCAGATAATTTGTGAGATTCAGAATGGCAGGCTGAAAAGAAATAATTAAAAATCCAGACCTGTGGTTGCTATGAAAGCTGGAAAAGATGATGTGATTAAAATATTTTTGATTTTTAAAAAGTACTAATGTCAGGAAGAATTTAACAGATTACAGAGTTCCTCTTACTGGGAACTGAGACTGATAGGAAGAAGTAAGAAAATTTCTGAAGCAAATGAAAGGAAGAAGATGTATCCTGAAAGGAAGGACATGTCCTACAGTTAAGGCATATATACAGCCTGCCCAAGGACCTGGTGCCTGGCCAAACAAGGTGCCTGGCCAAACAGTATAGCAATGACAGATGGGAATGCTGGGGTAGCTAGGGAAGTGAGAAGTGCTATGGGAGAGCAAAGGTGGTGACAGCTGGTGAACTTAGAACCCCAAATCGCTAAACAAAACTTCTGCCATCAGGCTGTTGTGAAAGTGCCAGTAGAGAAGCTTTGACTGTTGCAATGGGGACTGCCAGCAACATCAGATGCTGGTGCTAGAGGGGTATCGAAGGGGTGAACCAGGAGACAACAGATTGCAAAATGCAGATTTAGTCAAGTGGAAGTGGTTTGCTTACTATGCAGGTGAAGAAGCTGACATCAGCCTGGAGTGAGGAATTATGCCCAGAAAGTTGTGGCCTACAGCCTCCTGAGGAGGTATGTCATGTTTTGGTAGTTCTCATCTTGTTGCTGTCCCACACACTCAATGTTGTCTTCAATTTCCAATGAAGACTGAGCACTCACAAATATCAAAAGTGCTGAAGAAGGCACATGCCTGCTGGTAGGACTTCTCTTCCTCCAGTACTGTTATCAGGCACAGTTGTATGGGACACCCAGATAGACCCAGACGTGCAGCATCACATTTTTCATCTCCTGTACTTGAGGTTGGAGATGCTATGCCATAATTTGGTCAGTAGCTAAGAGTGACCACCTCCCACCCCAATCTCAATATCATAGAGGAAAGATGACTGTAGTTTAAGACCAAGTTGTCATAGGATATATTACTTGTTTATTAAAGTTGTAAATTAACTTATTAAAGTGGTTGTTATATTAATTCATATTTGCACTGGAACAAAACAGAACTTTAGCACTGGAGTGTCTCCCAGACATCCAACCTTCCCAAACTTACCTTTTACATAAGATTCAGTGAAGTGGCACTTGTGTGACTCTTTGCCTTACTTCACTTATATCTGGTACCTTAAGAAGTGAGCACATCAAACAGAACAGAACTGGCACATATCTCTTAATCTACTGGATTTATTCCATATTTGAAAAAATACAAACCAGTATTATTGACTTAAATGCATAACTGATAGAGAGCTCTCCAGACTGGAGGTGTTTGTGCTTTACTATTTGAGCTTTTGAGGCACAGACCCTGGTATATAGAAGAAATATATTTAAACAAAGAATGTAGTTACACATTAATAATTAGAATATAGTTGACATCTCTGACCATAGGAGAAGCCATTGTGTCTGGAAGGTTGTGCTTTATGTGTAGTAAAACATAAAAATTAATAACGTGTCTCGCAGCAGATTATAAAGTTTTATATTCATACACACCAGATCAGTTATCAAACTACATGTAATGGGAAAGCTCTGTTGAACCCCACAAGCTATTTTGGGCTCAGTATTCAATTTTTTGTCATGAAAATTTTGATGGAAAGCAAGATCCTTGGCAAAAGCAACTTCAAAGCTGTGGGAGTCTCTGATGTCCTGATCATGAATATCCCACCTTGTCTTACTTAATGGAGTGACTCAGCAGAGACCACACTCGCCAAGACATGGGAGGAAGGGTGCTCACTTCAAGAGGGAAGAAGCCTTTAGTTCACACCAGTCTCTCTCATAAAGTGAAGGCAGTGGAAATCTGGGAAGTAAAGGTGAGCAATTGATTGATAAAGAGAAGAATCCTGCTACTAGGTCTATACAAGCATAGAACATTAAAGTTTTTGTTGTCTGATAATTAATCGATGTGCGAATTAGATAAGTAATTTACATAAAGTATCACCTGCAAACAAACACCAATTTGGGTCTATCTGTCTCTTCCAGCTCGTGTTTCATCTGAGCAAGATCATGTTTCTTGCCCTTTCTCCCAGCTGTTTCTGTCTCTACAGTCTGTGCACTGGTAGGACAGGTTGGCTTCTGTCTCACATCCCAGGGACCTGCCTCAGCTTTTCTCATCAGATCCTCTGGCTGCAGTGTCCCTCCTGCAGCCCTAGGGCTCCACAAAGAACAGAAGGAAAATCCTGGGCCAATACCTAGCTGCAGACCTTCACCTTCCTAGGATAAGAGTTAGCTATTTTTGAATTGTTGACTCTGCTGCTGTTTTCTAAACTGTTTACTGTTTTATTTGGAACCAATGAGCCTGTAATATTTCAGTAAAGATACATCATGTGTGAGGCCATCCAGATTTAACAAATTCCGTACTTACAAACATGCTTTCTGAAGGAATCCATGTGATGATTGTTTTTATCAGGCCTCCAGGGTCTGCTTATATAAAAGCGGTTGATTTTTATAAACTGAGTCAAAAAGACTGTACATGTAATAGAGAGGGGAAAATGCCCCTAGCAGGGACTGCTGTTGAGAGCACAGAAAACTGGTTTATTGACCACTTGAAATACTTTAAAATGCAATTAAAAAGTAAACTATTTTACCAAGATACAGTAAAATCTTACATTTTTCACATTTTCAGCACCCAAGTAAAATGCATTCTAAACCACTTCAAGCTTTTTAATATATGAAGCAACAGCTCTAGAAGAAATCAGAGAAGATATGTTCAACAGATACATAGTGTCTGGTGCTTGCAATGGGTGCTGAAGAAATCCACTGCAGCAAAATGCTGTTTAAGCAGAGTGCACAATCTGGTAAAAAGCCTTTTAAAACTGCAGATATATTTTAAAGTGGATCAAATATTTAAATTTCATTAATATTTTACCAATATATGCAACCTTGTATTGACTCAATAGGTTAAGTTCTAACACTGATAGAATTGTAAAAGAAACACTTTTTGAAAAGTACCAGGAATGTGATAGATCAAATGTGTTATTGACCTAGTGCTAGTCAATGACTGTATCTGTTCTTTGCAAGAAAACAATAGATCATAACTGGTAAAGTTTACATGTAGACTGGTAAATAATTTTTTAAAG